AAATGATTTTGTAAGGGGTTGCTTGTCTTCAGATCCCTTGTTGGTGGCCTGTAAAATATTAATGAAATATCAGCATGAAATAACATGCTTAAACTCGACACAAATTTCTCATGGTCTAAGATCCTTACACCTAATAAAATATAATAGTATACTATAGTATGGAAATAAGAGATTTTTGACCTTCAAATTAATCTCATTTCCTGTTCCGGACCTTTCGACCTTCTATCATCCTGCCATGCCTATCAATCTTCCCCACCCTGTCTTGTCAACCTATTCTGTCCAGACAGACACACGAGCCCATTACTCAGTTACCGAAAAATGCTTCCGCTTGGGAAAAAACAAGGCAGCAATTGCCCGAAGGACTTACCGTTTTCTTCCAGGCGGCGGACACATTTTGCAAAGTAATGTACCCTTCACACGGATCAGACACGGGAGAGGTTCCTGTTAAGACCGGGTCGTCTTCCTCAAGAAGGAGGAACTCCTGAAAAAAAAAGAAAGTCACAGAAATCCAAAAATTTGAAGGACATGCAGCCGCTCTCTCATTGGTCGAGCAACTAATTGCGATGCCATCATTGGTTAAACTCCTAATTGCGGTGAACAGTCAGGATCGGTCTATTGGGCCTGTCCTTGGTGCTGAACATATCAACACGGTGTGCCTCGCCTATATCTTCAACATTGTCACAGAAGGTTTAATGTCACAAGTCTAAGAAGTTTAAGTTGTAAGCACTATGGGCATCTGGAATTATCCAAAATCTGTTAGGGTATACCTGTATCCTTTTTGCGGATGCAAACGCCTCTGACCCGAACTGCACCGCTAGGGGGGTGTACCACGTGAGCGAGAGCCGTAACACGTCGAAGTACGACACAGCCACGAACACGGTCCTCGACGTGATGCCTCCACCAATCAGAGAGAAGGTTAGGAATGTGAAGAACATGATGATCTTGGCTGAACAGTAGAACAGGGCTGCGTTGAAAGCGCGGTATGCAGAGGAGGTCTTTATGTCCTTAACTTCATTCCTAAAAATCACGTACGATAGATGTTTACGCAGATGTTTGTTTTTGTTGCATGCCTAGACTTTTACGTTACGTGCCTATGTTGACAGTACACCTTATTGAATGATATGCTGCATTCGTATACTTACTAAATAAACGCAGATATTGACAATTTTCACATGTGGAAAAATTGTATTAGGCAGGTTTAATTGTTTGTTGTTTATTTCTTTTTATATATACCTTTATTAAATATTTTCAGTCTACTCTTGCTCACTCTTCCAAATACTCCAACAAAAGAGGTTTCTTACGAAACTTTTGATCAGTTAACTTTTGGTACTTTAACGCGTTTTTGGAAAAACATGATGATGGAAGGCTTACCCTCTGATGTCTTGAATCTGGTGGGTAAAAAGCTCCTCCCAGGTGTACAGTTTTACAGCGCGAATGCCCGAGATGACTTCGTGCATCAGGTTGACTCGTTTGTCGGTCTTCAGTGCAATCTCTGATCTGAAAAAAAAACTAGTAGTTTAACCAATGAGAGAATTTGCAGTTCGACCAATGAGGATAGCTAAATTTCCGCAATGCGTTGTTAATTTTTGTGCGCAAAAGAAGAAACACGAAAACAATTTTACTATCTGTCCTTTGAAGCGGATTTCTTGAAATGTATGCGCACATGTTAACATTGAATCTACTGTGTTATTTTTTTGGCAACGCCTTAGGGGCGACGTCTAACCTGAGTGTTGACAGCCGTTTCCCCAGATAGGACTGTATCGGGATGGTCAGGAGCACGAACAGGAGGCCAGCCAGGCAGGACGGTCCCATTTCGTGCCAGAGGAGGGACAGGATGGCCACCGTCTGGAGGGGACCAATCCACAGGAAGTCTGGGAAAATGAAGGCCTGGCAAAAACAGGATGCATCTATATCACTCATTAACATAACTTCACACATTAATTTTGCACCAAGTACAAGTTCAAAAGTTACAAATTAGTTCGTAATTCAATACATGCATGTAGATGAATGACTAAATCTTTGAATACATTAACAAATTAATATTAAACCTGGTCAAAACGTTGAACGTCATTAGACAGCATGTTGACTATCTGTCCGGTGCTGCTCTGACGTAACCCTTCAGACCCCAGGCGGAGAACCTGAAACATGATATATGGAATGATGATGAGACAAAGGAAAAAAAAATGTCTTTGGGCAAAGGGATTTTGTTTAACTAGTAAACTAAAACATGTGGTGATGGGTGACTAATCTAACATCAGAAGATAATTTTTCTCTTCCTCACCTTCCTGTATATCAGAGAGGAACAGCCGACTCTTGTGCGCATGCCCATGCGGTAGGCGAGGAAGAAGGCAGGGTGATGTGTGAGCGCCTGAATTACAGCGCATGCGCAAACACCAGCAGCGTACAAGTACGCATGCGCCACAGGAATGCCCGATGTGACGTCAAAGAAGCTGAGAAGTTGGCCGAGAAACACTGGCTGGACAACCTTCGCGATTTCCTGCAATAATGTTGAAATCTTAAAATAATTAATTTTTTCATAGATTGACAAACAAAATTAGCATTAGATTATAAAACTAGATACAGCTAGATAGATAGTTAAAGGGGTACATAATTATGATAAAAAATCCTGTACCTTTCCTTACGTCAGGAAAGCGTGACTCTAAAACAATTGCGTTTGTGCACCCACCTCAATGGAAATGATAAGGCTATGTTGTAGAATAGACGATTTGAAGCATCGCGCAATAGCTCTGGTAAGGCTTGGCTTTCCATTTCGACAGGCAAGTTCTTGTCTCCATTTCCTGTAATTTAGAATGCCAAAATTAGTTCCAAAGAAAAAGAATAAAATGTGAAAAAATGAAAATGAAGAGTTTAGTATTTGCTATACTATACTCTGCGTGTTTAGTCATTTGTTCAACCTTCATGACCACGCAGATTTCATAATGAATACAACATTTTGGCAAACGTTTATTCGCACGCTCGCATCAGTTTGAGGGGTTCCCAGATAATGTCATCCGTATAATCTAATCCACATGGCCTTACCATGAACAAGAATGTACACAAAAAGTTGAATTTGAACTTAAACATTGATCTGAAACTCCTTGCTACATACCTGTCAAGCTTCTGGCTAACCTGTAGTGCGGTGTCCTCCTCCAACACCTTGTACATGTCTTCAGGTTCAAGGCGTCTTCGGTAACCCTTACTGAAGATGTCGCCGAGCCAACTGCAAAATTTATCAAGAAAGTAATTGACACAGCAGGGTAAGTAAGCCTTCAACCTATACGATTATTCAATTTCTAGTCTTGTGGCGTAGCGGCAGAGTGCTCGACCCTGTGTCCTGGTGACGGCATTAATATAAGTTGAAAAAAATTGAGTGTGCCGTCAACACGTCTTGTGATTACATGTTGGAATATAAAAAAATCCAGTCCTTGCTAGTATATAACATAGGTATCTTTCGCATAGGAATATCTTATCTGCACCACTTGTATCTATAAATCTATCAGTAACTAACCAACTATTTTGTTTTTGTTTATTTTGTGGGTCAGCTTTCTGGTATCATACATTGCGTTTTGTAGCCTCTACCAGGCTTCGGGAATGTCTTGGCCGACTTATAAATCACCATTGTCAACGTATCTACCTACCTATATAATATTAGAAATAAAAATAGTCTCACCAGAAGAACAGACGTGAAAAGAATCCAGATGTCTTGAGTGGACTTTCTTCTGTGTTAGGGACCGCCATCGTCAGGACACGGTGAAGATTGCGCTGAAAACTCAGAGACTGAGAGACTATGGGACAAGCCCGTCTCGTGTGGTCTCTGTGTTTTCATCTATGTTACCATGGCAACACAGCGGGGTACGAGGAAAGCAACTCATTTTTGTAATTATTTGTCCTTAAGTATGATTCTAAAAAGTCAATCGTTTGTAACGAGTGCTTTCCAAGGTAAAACTAATTTGTCTTTTTTGACGACCCATCGGAGCACGTCGAAACATAATAAGACCAAATTGACTTAGAAGACAGCCCCTCATTTCTTACCCCTCATTTGTTACACTCATTTTGAGCAATTTGTTCTACAGGTAACTGGTGCATACATGAAACAAGAGGGATGTTCTTTCTTTTTGTTTTGCGTGGCGGAATGATGGAGCTCTTTAGCGGCGACCCAAATGCGTACGCTTGGTGGGTTTACAGCTTGTTGTTTCCGTTACTTTCCTTATGTTTGTGCCGTCCATGGTAACTAGACATAATGCTGCTTGCCCTATTGTGCCACGGTGAAGAAGGTGCAAACTTTGGTTACAAAGAGTTGCAAAAACATATGTCCTTAGAATCACTCCTTATAGTAGAGCCAAGCAATGACAGCGAACTAAGTCCACTCGCTTAAAGTATGTAGTCAACAGGTGCGCGCAAGACGAAAAGGTTATGCCAAAAAGCAGTTACTCAGGCAACTGGATATGATTTTGAAAACGTCAGACGTTTCAGCTATTGATTGATATGCAAATGAAGTGAAGACAAATTTGTCTTCACTTTATTTGCATATCAATCAATAGGTTGTGCTTATAAACCTGCATTTCCCCTCTGGTCTCTCAGTCACTGACGAAAGCTAGTGGATACTAGCTGAAACGTCTGTGGTTTTCAAAATCATATCCAGTTGCTTGAGTAACTGCTTTTTGGCGTATCGAATTACCTGGATGTCTAACCTTCATCGACGAAAAGGTTATGACATGATTTCTCGTCAGTATGGGGAACAATTGTTCGAAAGATGCAGTCAAAATAAGGTGTGCTTGTTTAACATATTTCTATCTTGTATATATATAAGTTGTATAAGTCGTTTATAAGTTTAACAACCAAATTTCGTGGACGCATTAGTAGACGCGCGGATTTCTACAATGTGTCTTTGGCCCAGTACATGGTCGATGAAATGCATATCATTCGAACTGTTGCGTATCGTAGATGTATGGATGCTAAATGTTTGTGCTGTGAATTGTGCGTCCACGTCAGTATGATATTTTTGCCATGTTGTGTTCAACATGACTTTTCTAATTTTCATCTGTTATCTTTGCATTTCAGAGAGGTTCGTCCGCTGGTGGTGACGACGTCGCGTTTTCAATGTTTGCCTCCAGTACCTAAGTTTCCGGGTTAGTATACAATGTATGTAGCAGGATTAGTATGTGTTATAGGGAACTTTAGGCAACGACCTTTCATTGAACATCAGTTTTACAGTACTAGTAAATGACAAACAGTAAAGGCCTACTTAGAGTAGAACTGTTTTGCAGCACTAGCTAACATAAGATGTCTACTTTGATATGCAGAAGTGGGTCG